TGTTTGAATCAAATTTGTATCACAAAAAATAGATGACTATTCTTCAAATTATATTTGTCATCCATTTTTTAAAAACAAATGTGATTTAAATATATAGATATCGATGTCCAATTATCTTATTTTTTGCATGAATATTCCACTAAATGATTTCTAAAAAGTGAATAATTCGTATCACCAAAATAGATTTCAAAATGGACCTACTAAGTACAAACACTCTCTCAAGTTGAGATAATAACTCGAAAGCAGCCAACCCCATGGTAAAAACATATGTACCATATGTAAATTATGATATTTGTGAGATTAATTATTAAAAATGTTATAACTGAATCATTTGATATTCATAATTTAAAAAAAGAAAATTCATAATTAAACACTAAGATATAACTAAAAAATCATTTGATATTCATAATTTAAAAAAAGAAAATTCATAATTAAACACTAAGATATAACTAAAAATAAAATAAATTATAACTAAAATAATATCATAACAACTAGCATTACAATCATAACTAATACTATAGTATTTATAACTAAGGTTTGTTTTGTTTCGACATAAAATATTTTACACCAAAAAAAAAAAATCTTGTAACTTAATTACATAGAAAAAATATTTTGTTTTTATTTTTCGGCATTTACTTGATACTTGAAAAAATATATATTTTATTTCCTAAAAAAGAAATTTTGATTTAATAAAATGTTATTTATGACTTTTTAGTGAGTTAACATATTTATTTGAAAATTGCTAAATGTGTTGAAAAGATAGTGAGTGAAAGTTAATTTTATCAACACCAAAAAAGAAAGTTAATTATATAAAAATTGATTTAAAAGTAAGTGATTTTAAAAAAAAATAATACTAAAATATTTTTTAAAAAAATATTTTACTTGTTTTTTGTTAAACTAAATAACAAAAAATAAATAAAATATTTTTTAACAAATATATTTTATGTTAAAACAAATCAAGCTTAAATCATAATCAAATAAAATTAATATTATAATATATCATAACAAAAGACTATAACGTAATGACTAGGCGACACCTCAAAAGAGATAAATATTAAATTATGTTATTTATGATTTTTTAGTGAGTTAAGGTATTTATTTAAAAAATATTAAATGTGTTGAAAAAATAGTGAGTGAAAGTTAATTTTATAAAAATTGATCAACGAAAATTTTAAAAGTAAGTAATTTTTTTATAAAAAAAATAGTACAAAAATATTTTTCTAAAAACATATATTTTACTTAATTTTTATTCAACTAAACAACGAAAAAGTAAATAAAATATTTTTGACGTCAAAACAATCCAAACTTAAGTCATAATCAAATTAAAATTAACATTGTGATGTTTTAAAAAGTTGGTAAAAAATTGATTATTTAATTTTTTTAATTTATTTTATCTTTTTATGAGTAAAAAATGTGAAAAATAATATTACTCAAAATAAGTAAAAAAGCGTTAGAAAACTGACGTTTTTTTCTTTCCAAAAATCCCACTATCGTATATCATAATTAAAGACTACGACATTAATGACTAGGCGACACCTCAAAAGAGTTGAATATTAGAAAATTTCCTATGAAGAGAAAGTGAAAGCATTTTAGTCAGGAACCGTTGCGTTACATTCATTATTTTATTAATCTATCTATCCATTCTCTATCACACTGACTGTATAAGTAACCATGATAGAAAGATCGAGAGGAAAGGAAGGGACTAGTGAAAGAGCTCCCAATGACGCGTTTTTATTTGTTTTTGAGGCTGCGAGACAGACAAGCACCAGCTAGGCCAGCTGGAATATATCTCTCTGCTGTTGTTTTGCTAAACATGTTAATTACATTGACAATTTTTTGGCAATTAAGCCTAAAAAAGCTAAAAACATTAAAAATTTAACAAATATCAAAAAATTATTTCTATTTATTTTATTTATTGTACATTTTTTAAATAAAAATTATAATTTTTTTTAAATATTAATTTTTTTATCTCATATTTTAGTTAAAAAAATCAACAATTCACTAAAAAAATTTGTTTCCAAACAACCCTTAGACTCTGTTAATTATTAACAAATATTTTTTATCTATAATTTTTTTTTTAATTAAAAATCTTACAAATGTATCATTTTTTAAAGTGATTGGGAGGAGTGAAACTCATACATTATTATTTAAGTTAAAATATACAAAGTCATAAAAAAATAATATTAACCAATAATTAAAAGGATGTTATTGTAATTAATCCTTGTCAAACTCAGAACTGTTATATTTGCGCGTGTTGGTTGGTTGCTGAGATGTTTTTATTTTCTTGCTTTTTTATTTTTATTTTTTTAGTTACCTTTTTTTTTAAACAGTTTTTTATGTTGTCCTTTAGCATCTCTCTCTTTCTATCGGAAATTTATTTCTTGGACCCTCTATAGAGGTGTAAATTGGGCTAGGCAAGCCAGCCTATGTCGGTTTGTTCGGGCTTTTGTCAAAAGAAAAATGTTTGGGAATATTAAAAAGAGAGCATTAAGGGAAGCATTAATGATGTGATAGTGGGTTCCGCCTACTTTCTATGGCTTGTTTTTATTTATTTTTTTTATTTATTGTCATTTCCAATGTATTATTGTTAGTAGTGATGTATTTTTTAGTGTTCTAAATCATTGTTGTTGTCAAAATTGCATCAAGCTTGAATATTTTTTTTTATTTTATTTACTAAGATTTTATTCTTTTTTACTAAAAATGATCCTGGATTTTGGACGGGTTGGGTGGGCTCGGCCTCGGGCCATGTTTTGAGTAGGCTGATAGATTGGTTCATTGGCCAGGTCAAACTTCAAGATAACTGCCCAAGCTCAAGCCTAGGGTCCTGGTCTGGGCTTGGGCCTAGTCCTAAGCGGACTGGACCCATCCCGGGCCGCGTGCTGACTTCGGACCGCCCACAAACCGCAAGCTATTTTTGCACCCCTAATTGCATATGAACAGAGAATCTGATGTTTCTCTCTCGCAATTGTATTAATAGAAGGCAAAAATACAAATGAATTGTAGTTTCAAAAATGAATTACTAGCACATTAATTTAATAATTAAAATTTCTAAAATTTATTATTAATTTAATTTTTCCCCCCTTTGAAATAGCCACTGATATGTTATTCCCCCTTAATAGAATGGGAAATAAAATATAAGGAAATTTTATTTACATATCGTACAAACTCTTAGTACACATCATAGTGTTTGAATATAAACTTCTGAACAGATGTCAAATGTTTGGATTTAAAGTTATGAACAAAAATAAATTGTTCAAATATACATTTCATTCAATTATTTACATCCGAATAACTGTTTTATGTTCATACATTTATATCCGAACGTTTAACTTTTGTTTGAAAATTTATATGTAAACACATTTGTGGTGTGTACTAAGAATTTGTATGGTGTGAAAATAGAATTACCTTATAATATATCATCCAAATATATACAAACTATTTTAAATTAAAAATTGATAATAATTTGAAAGCATCTTTGCCCATAATAATAATTATTATTATTTTTTCTATTTAGTGGTGTTATTTTTACCACATTAACTGTAAGCAAATAATATATGTTTTTTTAAAAACTATCAAGCCCCAAATGAGTCCCTTGCATCCATACTTGGGCCAACTGTTGGGCCGTTTTATATTTTTTATCAAATTATTTGGTACAGTTTCTATTTATAATTTATGAGATAAAAATAATTTAAATAAATTAGAAAATTTAATTTCTAAAAATTAAATGAAAGATATTTTTAATTTCTATTTTCAAATTATCAGTTAAAGTATACCAAAGGACTAATTAATTTTACAGCAGAGACTTTGGACATGTGTCAAATTGGGGGTGACTTGTTGGGTAAGTCAAAAACTGTAGCATAAAGGCATTTAGGTGTTCGTATGATTGAAGGAGCCTTCCAGGAGGGTCAGTGAGCGGCTGGTCTGCCTGCCTTTGGATTCCAGACTGCCAAAAGTCAGCCTTTTCTCCAATTTTTTTACAGTGTTTGTCTTTGAAATACTTTCACACTGTTTTGACTTGTCCTTCTTCCCTCATACCCACCATTAACTACCTCCAGGAGAGAAAAAAGGAAAAGACAAAAAAGCCTTCAAATATTTTTATTTGAAAAATTCCATAGGGAACACTGTAACCAATTTTTATGGGTGGTTTGAAATGATCTAAATAAGTGTATTTTTTAACTTTTTATGAAATATGAGTTAGATTTGAGTTGAATTTGAAGTGATGTGTTAGAGAAGTGATGTGACTTAAATAAGATGATGTAACTTAAATAGGATAGTGACTTTTTAACTTTTTAAATTTTTTAAGAGTTGCCAAACTTAGCCTTAAACTATGACTTATTTGTTTTCTTCAAATTTTGTGTTATAGGGTTGCATTGAATCAAAATAACATTAATTTAAGACACAGCCCTAGAGTAGTCAACTTAGAATTAACACTCGAAGCAGAATTTACCATGAAAGGAAAATGAAATTGATATTTTTACAGATTTTTTATTTTTGATAAAAAATGATGAGATAGTGATATTTATGAAAATATCAGCCATCTTGATTAGTCTTTTGCTCTAAAGTAATAAAATTAATTTTATTTGAAAAATTCCTTAGGGAACACTGTAATCAATTTTTAAACTATGGCTTATCTGTTTTCTTCAAATTTTGTGTTATAGGGTTGCATTGAATCAAAATAACATTAATTTAAGACACACCCCTAGAGTAGTCAACTTAGAATTAACACTCGAGGCAGAATTTACCATGAAAGGAAAATGAAATTGATATTTTTACAGATTTTTTATTTTTGATAAAAAATGATGAGATAGTGATATTTATGAAAATATCAGCCATCTTGATTAGTCTTTTGCTCTAAAGTAATAAAATTAATGCCAATCAAAAAATAAAGTAATAAAATTAAGACTTGTTATTTTATATTTTGATATACAAATGCTCAAGGACAAAATAGTCATTTTCAAGAAAAGCCAGGGATATATTTTTTTATTCCTATCACATGAAAAAACTGTAAAACATCTGTCACCCATTTCCTTCATGGTTACATGTACAACCTTGTTGTTTCCTTTCCTTGACTAGAGAGATCTGCTAGCCAACTATTATTAAAACCCCAAACCCCCGCATCTATAAATAAATACCATCATCTTCTTCTTCTCCTCCCAAACACTCACTTACCCATCCTCAAACAAACACCAATAGAACAAGATCAAAAAAGTTACAAAAGAGAGCCAAAGAAAAATAGTACAAGCCAGTGATTGATCAATCTCTAGCTATAGCTACCCCTTCAACAATGGTGATCAAGAGTGAGCCCAAGATCCAACCAGAGCCAAACAAAGCAATACCATCAACATCAACATCATTGAAAAAGAAGAAGTATAAGGGAGTGAGAATGAGAAGCTGGGGTTCATGGGTATCTGAGATAAGGGCACCACATCAAAAAACAAGAATATGGTTAGGCTCTTATTCCACCCCAGAGGCTGCTGCTAGAGCCTATGATGCTGCACTCTTGTGCCTCAAGGGCTCCTCAGCCAATCTCAACTTCCCAATCTCCTCCTCCTCCTCTTCCCACCACCACCTCCCTCCTCCAGACACCATCTTGTCCCCTAAGTCCATCCAGAGGATTGCTGCTGCTGCTGCCAATGGTTTCAATGACAACAACCCCACCACCACTCCACCACCACCACCACCTCCCTCCTCCACCTCCTCATCATCACCATCATCTCCATCTGATGATATGTCATTTGTATCATCATCGTCATCATTAGATGCCTACACACCTTATGATGAGTCTGATGAACCAATGTCTCTGATCACATCATCATCATGGTACAACTTTGATTCACCAAAGTACACTGATATGCTGATCAATGGGACTTTTTTCGATCCACCCATGATTGAGTTTGAAGATGTCTATGAAGAAGGAGATATTCGGCTTTGGAGCTTTTGCTGATGAAGATTCATCATCAATTGATTCAATTCAAATCAAGACAACCCATCTCTTTATATTTATTAAATTTGTTTATTATTTGGATGATCTTCAGTTAATTGCTTGAAGACATTGCTGACAGTGACATATATGTGAGTTTTAGGAGCACCAATTCACATTTGAGTGAGACATTTTTTGGACTCACCCATGTGAATTTCTAGGTATTCAATTTATTTATTATGTAATATATATATATCTATATATAGAATTGCTGCAAAGTGTGTGTAATATTCATTGTATTTTCAGTGGTAATTTGTTGATTTTTATTGTAAATCCTTTGGTATAAACATGGTTATGGTAGGAAAAATAAGAAATAATATACGGCGGAAATAAACAGATTCAGTCACACATTTTATGCTCAAACCAAATCTATGAATTATGTGGGTGAATCACGTGCCTCCGTTGATGTTTTCAATTAAATCCTAGTAGTGGAGTAGAACTATTAGAGAATTACCCATACTATTCACAGTACAGAGATATGGTTGTTCTTCTATGGTAGAAAGCTAGAGAGATAAAGTCTTTTTTCAGGAATATTATTGGGGTAAAAAAAATCATATCACGTTATACATAATATGTATAGATGTAAAAGATATAACCACTTACAACTCTATCTTATCTTTACAAGAGATGAGATTGTGAGTTATTTACCTTTTATCCCTAAGATAAGGTGGTTTAAAATTCAAACTGATAAGGTCACTACATGCATCATGAGTCATGTTACCATGGAGGCCCAAACTTGGTCCAAAACCCGACCCAATTTCCAATCAGGTTGCATTTATGTTTTTTTGTTGTTTTCGTTTCACATAGAAGGTAAAAATTTAAAGAAATTACTATTAAGTGGTAATTCTACAAAATTATTACATATTTTTATAGAAAAATTTATGATTTTAATTATTAACATCTATAAAATTTACCACTTATTTGTAATTATTTTTCCAAACACCCATTGAATTGAAATTTTCACTATTTTTTTTTTTTTTGACGAATTGATTTTAGTAGTTTTTAGGAAAAAAAATTCTGAAAATAATTATCATTTGAGGAAACACCAAAAAGTTGTTCTTCAATATTAAAAACAAATTTTGCAGAAAAACTTTTAAAAATAATATGAAAATAATGAGTATTTTTGTATCTTACATTATTTTGTTTATAGTAATACGAAAAAAAACAAAAACATAAACAAAACAAAAAAAATGAAAAATGAAAAAAAAAACAAAAAAATGCAAGCAAACCCCAAGTAATCCAGCACATGATGGGGCACATGCATAAAAACTTGAAATGCCTTCATTGGGAATAAAGAGCATACTTGTAGGCTGTATATGCAAGAATAGCTGAAAAACATTGAAAGAGTTTTATGTGTGTTTTGTTTGCCCATTTATTGTCTTTATTTTTCTCTTTTTATTTAAGGCATTATATTGGTGCAGTATGGTGAGTTGAAGAATTTAAATGAACGTTTTTTTTAATACCCAAAATAGTGTAGAAAAAATGGATTAGGATTCTAATAATAATTTATAAAATATTTTTTTATGTAGAAAGAAGGTTCAATATGTTTCAAAATCAAAAGCTCCTTTGGAATATAGATGTCTCATTTTTTTTGTGATGATATGTGATTTTAGTGATCTCACATTTCGAAAGACTATATCCATTCATAAGATTAGTCTTACCCTACATTAAAAAGATCTTCTCATCTAAAAATAATTAGTCCTAACATCCTTTGATGATCATTTACATTGTATAGCGCTAGTTTAAAAAGTTAAATTTAAAGTTTTTAATCCTAAAAAAATAATTATTGTACATGTTTAGTTGGTTAGAATTAAAGTTTCAAGTCTAAATTATCTTTTTCTTTTTCCCTCTCCTTATGAGATATTTCTTTAATTATTTATTTTTTTTCCCTATTATGTTTGATGGGTGTTTTTTTGGTCATGTAATAAATGTAGACATTTTAACGTAATTGTCTTGATATTGATAAATTGTAATATTTTTTTATTGATTGATTAAAAATAGACATTTTAACGTAATTGTCTTGATATTGATAAATTGTAATATTTTTTTATTGATTGATTAAAAAACTTGATACTACTTGTACGATTATCGTGATTTCACATGGTCATTTGGTGGAGGTAGCATACGGCCAGGAGGTCACGTGCCCCCTCACTTTTGATTTTTTTTTTTTTTTTTATCTTTTTTTTTTTTTTTTCTTAACATGTTCTTTGGCTAAAGATTTATTATATTGTTTATAACAAGTAGCTATTTGATACTTTAAAAATACTATGTGATATTATTTATATAGTAGTTTAAATCAATGGTGTAGAGAAAAATATTATAGATTGGATATAATGAACTTATTATGTTCAAGTAGTTGACATACCACTTAGTGTGATTTGTAATTTTCTATACTTTGAGCATCACGTAGGTAACGTCATATGATACTCTAAGACTGTTTAATAATTTTCATTCAAAACACATCATTTATGAACAATATCATCTCTGTAATATTTTTCTGTCAAATAAAAATTAAATGTATTTTATAATAATTTGTGTTATAAATGATGTGTTTTTATTTTTTAAAATTAGAAATTTTGTTTCATAATTTTTTGTGCTAAAATTACAAACTTACATCATCATCTCACACCGAGCTATTCCATACTATTATAGAATTTTGATTTGTTCTTATTAATAATGAATATATAATTTTTTATGTTTAAATTTATCTAATAAAACTATGATTATTTTAATGTTGCTCATAATTTTTTTTAAATAAAAAATTATAATTAATAAGTATCCCTCTAACCTAATTTTCTGGCTCCGCCACTATTTGTTCACATGGACTGTCTTGTTGTGCAATGGTTGAGCACTTGGATAGATATAGGGCTCCATACCCATTTGTTTTCTGTTACATTTTATAAGGCCAACTCTATGAATCAAAGCTATCAACTATTTGGAATTTATACAAAAGTGTTTGTCGCAACAATAAATCTAGTAATAACTTACTTTAGATTTATGGCACATATATGGTATGGGTCCCAAAATGTGCTTTAACTTGTGGGTTTCTGGGACCTACTTTGGATTGTGGTCTTGGCTGCCCTTGTATGTGAATTGGGTTATAGATTTGAGCACATGACCCCAACTACATGTTATTGCAAATGCAAAGACACATCATGTGATCTCAACAACATAATCAATCCCTCTGGTGCCGTTTGGTAACACTTACGTTTTTAATTTTCTATTTATATTTATAAAAATTTAAAAAACTCAAATAAAAACTTATTTGGTAAAATTTTTTATTTATAAATCAGTGGTCTCAGTTTATAAATTTGGCTAAAAAATGAAAACACAAAAAATGTGTTTCCATTTTGAGTTTTCAGTTTCTTTTTTTTATCGCCCAACATTAGCTACCACCCTCCACCATTTTCCACCACCGTCTTCCGCCACCACCACCATCTTCCGCCACCCCCCCTCCACCACCACCTGCCACCACCACTCACCCCCCACCACCACCAGCCGCCACCACTCACCACCCACCAGCCACCACCCGCCACCCCCCGCCACCACCAGCCACCACCCACCCGCCACCACCACCCACCACTCGCCACCGTCACCCACCCATCTGCCACCATCACCCACCACCAGCTACCCACCACCCGCCGTCACCACTTTCCACTACCGTCTTTCGCCGCCACTTGCCACCACTTGCCATTTTTCACTCTTTTTATATTTTTTAAAATTTTTAAACATTTTGTCAATTACCAAACGCGTTTGTGGTTTATGTTTTTCTAAAAATAAACAAAAAATAAACAAAAACCAGTTTATAAAATTTTTGTAAATATAAACTGAAAACGTAAACGTTAAGTGTTACCAAACGGCACCTGCAAACATGTAAAAAAAAAACTTGCATGTGAGATGAGAGGCTTAGATTCAAATATATTCTCTGTTTTTTTTTTTTTTTTTT